GTTTTGCTGATGTTGCTGAGGTGAAGGAAAAAACGACGGAGGTGCTGTCAAGCATCTCAAAAGATGAATTTAGACAATGTTTTGAAAAATGGAATAAAAGACTAGACAAGTGTATTAGTGTAAGTGGAGAGAACTTTGAAGGGGATTGAAGGTTTGTGCTTAAAATTTGAATAAATAAGTTTAAAAAAAAATAAGTTCGGTTTCTTTTGGGTACCCCTCGTACATACAGGTATTACAACCATTTGGATAAGGAAATTGTCAGTTTTACATCTAATTCTCATGCATATCTTTACAGTATGCACTGTACCACCCTAATATAGGGGGTTTGTTGTCTGACGTCTTCTGGCATCAGAAATCCTAGATCACTGTTCCCACAATATTAAAAAGTTCAGAGGAAGTCCATGAACTTGAGAAGAAACAATTAAGGAAGCTAAAGGAGATGCACTATAGGGCCTTATGTGGAGCATTGGGCTACTGGAGTAGCGCCCTCACCAATATAATGCTAGCAGAAGCCAAAGAAATCCCCATCTTTTCTAGGTTCAAACAGTTGGGAAGGAACTATGTGTCCAGGTGTTATACATGAAGCAATCACTCAATATTTCTGGTCGCTTGAAGGTGATATCTGAACATATTGTGGATTTCTTGTGGAATAGCTTTTTCCCCCCTAACAGCCTTGATGTGTCTAGCATGAACATCTATGGCAAAGTTCAGCCAGCAATCATCATATTTTCTGCATCTTGTCTAGAGTTCTCCACTTTACCCTGGATCTCAGTCCAGCAGTGTTTACCATGAATAAGTTCAGAACACATATCATTCAAAACTGGAAATAACTTGATTTGTAAATTCTTTATATCTAGTGTATGTATATTTTGACTGATTATTTATTTGTTCCACTGTCATTTGAAAAGAAAGTCGGGGTTGCTTGCAGGAATAAGTTCAAGCATGTCTGCACAGGATGGATAGAAGTCAGTGAAAAAGAACAATTCAAGCTTCAATTCTTCTGCATTCAGTATTTCTAGTCATAAAACGATAACAGTAAAAATGTATTCTTATCCTTTGTTCACTTGTGGAGAAGAACTATATAACGAAACATTTGTTTCTTATAGGTATGGATCTCGGGGACCGAAGGAGGCAGATGCCAAGTGCAGTGAGTTTGACTTCAGGTATTATGGTTCATACAAATGGGTGAAAAACCACTAAACTGTTTCACAGAAGATTAAATTTGAGGCTTTCATGGCAGTGAAAGTTTGGATTTAGATTCTGGGTTATGGCATCTTGTAGAGTCATTGAACTGATTCTTGTTCATAGATCACAAACTGAGAACAAGTTATCATTTCCAGTTTATTATTTTTGCATTATTTTATTTTTTTTTCTAATTTTATTTGTTGAGATATATGAATAATAATTTATGGTGTTGAATATAAAAATTGTTTAGAATAAAAACATGTTGATCATCTTAAAGGTACTTAAATTAATAAACTGGAATAAGGAAAACAGAAGAATCAGATTCCTCTGAATTATTTGAAGAATGTATAAGACTACATGATGTCATAACCAAGATGACAATCTAAATATTTCACAAAAGATAAAAAAAAAAGAACGGTTGTGACGGAAGGCATCATTCTATGCACCTGCCATTTGTTAGGCTGTTATCAGCTGACTTGCACTTTATTTATAATGTACCAGTAATAACTATAGATTGGAATATTGCAATATTTTGTATGTAAGACAACTTTTATAGAACATTCCATTTTAATTGTATTTATCTAATATTTCATGTAGTAATCAAGGGGAGTTATTTTATGAGAAGCAGCAAGAAATACGGTCTTACTCAGTATATTTTTTGAAGCTAGGGGGCATGGGTTGGAAATAATATTAGTATGCTGTAATTATTTATTACCACTTGTCTTTCTAAATTTCAAAATTTAATAATGTAATTTCCGATCACAGTGGCCACGCGGTCTAAGGCATCAACTGTCTTTGCCTGCTTGAATGCTGGGATCATGGGTTCAAAACCCACTCAAGGAATGGATGTCTGTGTTTATTCTGTTTGTGTAGGTATCGATCTGGCGATTGGCCGATCCCCCATCCAAGGAGTCCTACCGACTGTCTTAGGATTAAGAAACAGAATATTTCATGGATGCCCTATGCTCCAAAGTAGGAGTAACAGACAGGAGGGAGGAAGGGAGAGAGGGGGAGGGAGGGAGAACCAAGTAATTGATGGTTCTCTTTGTTCAGGTTATCTGGTTTTAAGATTACAGTACATTCCCAATTATACATGCTAATGAAGGGAAAAATAGTAACTATAGAACTAAAAACATAGATAATCCAGGATATTGTGGAATGCAGAAATTTGGAAATGGACATGTAATATCTGACTTGTATAATTATATCACAAACTGTAAGAATTATGAGAAGAGTACTGGTCACAAAACACTATTTCACATTTGCTGCACCTTTTGTTCTAAACATTTTTCACTCAAATGAATATTTAACAAGTTATGCACCAAATATGCACTGAAATGGATGTAGGGTTTCATGTAAGACAGCAATTAATACTGTCTGATCTAAACTAAAATTAATGGCTTCACAGTCCTTTTTGCAAAAATATCAGAATTCATGAAAATCCTCCAGCTGTTTCATTCATACAGACAGACATATAGAGGGAATGAGCGAACTTAATAGGCACTCTATATAATTGTGAACATACCTGAGGAGTGCATGGATAAGCACAACTCGGATAATCTCCGTGCATACAATTGGGAGTATCCTGTACAATGGACATGGGAGTAGAGCTTGAGCAAAAAGGAAAAGAATGATGTATGGACTTTGAAATGTAAGAGAACAGAAATTACTAATTAAGTTATGACATTTGATAATAAATCAGTCTTTATAGACTTTGACTTCTTATTTTGCACATATATCAGTAATAATATACAACATATACAGTATATGATGGTTACACAGAGAGTAAATTTAAATGTTTTCATCAGTGCAAAAATATCTAGTTCTGGTATTGCATGGATGAATTCATATTTACTGTTTCATGGAGAATTTTGATCGACAAGCTTACATGGTAATACAGTACGAGTGAGAACCACAGACTTAATCCATTGCAGTTGCATTTAATTCCCATGTTTCTATCATAAGCCTGAGGGAACAATAGAATCACATGCAGTGTTAGAAGTGATACTGCAGAAATATCTCACGAAGTGTTTCATAATTACAGAAATCACAAAGTATGTCTTAACATTATAAATTTAATTTTGATATCCTTCTAACAAAATAAAAAAAATAATTTGTAGACTGTGGCGCACATTTTGTGCTTTAATACTAATATAATCCATGTTTAAACAACTGAAAAATAACATTTCTCTCTCATTCGTCCTTGGGTTAATTTTTATAATAACAGAATCAAGTCCTGTCCGTTAATAACTTTAGCATATATTCAAGTTACATTAAATTAAATTAAATTTTTATTTATTAAATAGCTCTTTTTAATTTAATAATGGCACATACTTCAGGTCAGTAAAGGCATGAACATTACCTTCATGTTTACTATTAATGTTAAAGTTACACAATCAGGATTACTCAGTTTCTGGAATTTGTCTGTTGTACAGTATTCTGAAAGTATTCTATGTTCTTTCAGAATACTAGATGATGTATAAAGTCCATAAACTCAGCAACCCTGCGTGCGATACACTGTTGTCGAAACCCTTTAGAACTGACAAGTTCTCTATCATGATCATGATCATGATCATCATCATCATCATCATCATCACCGCTTGGGTGCTCGAGCTGTGTGGACTCTGTTGTGCTTGTGCTCCCGCCTGCTCGAATGCCTAGTGTATGTTCATATGCCGCTGGTTAGGCATGGCCAGTAAGGATATGTGTCCAGTCTGTGAAGAGCTATTTTACAGAAAGCAAAGTCTATTCATTGTGGCACCTGCAGACTTGTGTGCCGGAGAACAATGTGAGTGCATCCACGGTTAAGTTCACTTACAAGTGTGACAGCTGTAAGAAACTCACAGGGATGCTGCAAAAGAGCATTCCTTCTCCAAGAGTAATCAGAAGGAAGCAATTTCTGCAGAGCTAGTGTACTGCTTCATGTATCAGGGATGAAGAATATCTCTGTGTGCAGATGAAAACAGTTCGCACAAATGGCATCTGTACCACGGAGATGATATAGTCTTTAGCCATGATGGTGGCTGAACTCAGCAGTGAAGTTCAACAACTCAGAATCAACAACAAACCCATAAAGACACAACTGCGCAAACTACAACAGGCGCCCTTTCATGTGCCATTAACATGATGTGAGGATCCTACATCTGCCATAGCAAATAATGCTATGGATAAATCATATAGAGATGCTGTATGTGCAGTGGGTGGTAACCCTAGTGTCACCAAAGTAACAGCTCCTGCTATGAATTCACTACCTGAGCCGTCCATTGTGATGGGTGAAAATCCTTCCGGTGGCGATTTTGTAACGGCAGTTAGGAAAAAACTGTTAACCCTGCCTCCTGTAAACACTGCTGTTGCCAGTACCACAAAGAAATCTAGAGTTGCCATGATCAAAGTAAGCTCTTCTACCTCTGTTGTGCAGAAGAGGGTGGGGGAACATCCCACATATCATATTTATACTACACTCACTGCCTAGTCCACATTCAATCATTACACACGCTAGCCAATCAGTGCTCTGCAAATTTTGCTCCTCCACCAAGCATTGTATAAAAGGCGAAGCACAACACTCGCAAGATACAGTCAGTTGACAGTCATAGTCAGTCGGCAGCAGTTACCACAGCAGCGATTGGTCTTTGGAGTCATCAGCACTTCACTGCATCAGGGACGGCTGCCTCGGCTCTCTGGCGGTCATGCCCGACTCACTGGGCAACTGCCGCCACTCCAGCGACCGCACACCGCAACCAGACTTCTTCCAGCAAACATGCTCTGTGACCAGGCAACTCCCGCACTGCAGCCAGGCAACTCACTCAGCTGCCGTAACATCAGTCAACACACCGCAGCCGACATTATTTCTACCGGCGTACGTAGCGCTACTTCACCGGCCAAGCATCCCTGCTGATCTGAAGTGGTTTGTCTGTTGGAGTATCGATGACAAAATCCCACAAGGGTCTGCATGAAGTCCCTTTTTGTCTCTCGGTTTTCCCTTGATGAAACACCATCTGATGTTGAGAAATCTTTAAAGGATCAATTGCAGCTTGCTTCCCTTGCTTGCACCAGATTAAAAACTAAACATAATTCTTATGCATCATTTCATGTCTCTGTTGCAGGACATGACTTCCATCTTATTAATAATACCAGAGTCTCGAATAATGGCTGTTTAATTGCTCCTTATTATGGGTGATTAAGTCCTGATCAGATTTATACTGAAGCAGCAGATATGTTTTGGCCTTGCTACCCTGATGCAGGTAGCATTCGTCCCCCTACTCCCCCTCCCCTGGACCTTGTAGGTGACTCTGCAAACAAGGTAAACAATGTCCTTGCCCAAGGGGAGGGCGTTTTGGCACTCATTTAATGGTTAGCACACCTGGCATCAACACGTTGTTTTGCCAGGTCTCACACCTGTCCTGGAAATTGTTTTGACATTTATTACCAAAACGTCAGAGGTTTTAGGACTAAACAACTCAAACTTTATGAAAATGTCTGCTTTACAGACTTTAATATTATTTGTTTAACTGTTATGATCACAATTAGTTCCTGACTGCTATAAAGTTTTCCGTTCTGACAGGACATCTATGAATAAGGTATGTGGCGATGGAGTACTCATTGCCCTATCCTCCAGAGTTCACTCCTCTAACACCGGTATGATTTAGAATCCTGAGATGAATGTGTATGGGTTGAAATCCCCACTTAAGGTGGTCTTAACCTGCTCATTGGAAATCATTACTTTCCCCTTGATGCTAAATCCAAAAACATTCCTAACTACTTTCATCTTTTTAGAAAACAAGTTGAATACACATAATTTTCAAGTGATTATACTTGAGGATTTTAATGCCTCTGGTTTCGCCTGGAAAAGTGGTCTATCTCTGCCCAATTCCCACTATTACTCTGAACTTAAAGGAGGAGTTGCCGTTTCCTCAATTGTGCTGCTCCATGCAGTAACAAGTGTTCAACTTAGGCTGATAACAATTATTGGAAATCGTGGTTGCGTTGCAGTTGCCAGTTTTCTTGGTGTGCCCTTGGCCTGGGCGTGAAGATCACCACTCACCTCCAACGAGTGCCGAGGTAAAAAACACGTGGATCTATACATCAGTGGCCACATGCATCTTCATGGCATAGTGCTTAATTAATTATTACTGTGGTTCTCTTCATAAACAGCAACATAACACAGCCACCTTTGTACAACTTCATCACTATGGCACTATTTTATCATCTACCTAGTTCTTCACCATCTTCAATTAGTTGTCCTATCCTCCAAACTGGTCTAGCAACCCCGTCTCCTTGAATGGCATATACTGGTTGGAGATGAAGCCAAGGTCATACTTGGGCCATAATGGGTAATATACTACACCAGATACATATAAATATTACATCTATATGTAACAGTGGAATTTCCAAGATTTGAAATTCATTTAAATG